TTAAAATTTAGAGACAGTCTGTTAAAGCGCTAGTTCCGCCCTATACATTTCAGAACTATCTCTGAACTAGTGTCAAACTTCTGCAGAAAGGGATGGTTGAGACTTTTGTTGCGCTCTGTTGAGAAGTAAATACACAAATTCTCACTTCTCGTACAACACTACAATAGCTAAGCGGGAAGACCTCCGATTCTAACATCGTTGGTCGCGAGTTCAAATCGCGGTGGAGGCAGTTGTGGTTTTCAGATTTAATAAATTTAAACTGTTGAGTGCCGCTAAAAAATTGAAAAAATAATAATAATTAAATAATTATTTTAATTAATTAAAATTAATTTAATAAAATAAATAATTAAATAAAAAAAAATTAAATAAAATGCAATCTGTAAAAGAACAGAAAAAATTAAAAAATATCAAAAAATCGAATAATCAAAATTTTTTTCATAAAAAAACTTATGGTCGCAGATCTGTCCAAAATGGGAAGAGTTCAGAATAGAACCGGTTCAGAACTAGTTCGAAAGTTCTGCAGAGGTGGCAATTTCCACTTCGTAGGATATTCGTAGGACAAAAGAGACAGTTGAAAGCATTGTGTTGGGATAGATCGAGAACCACTACAGCCTCTTAAAGGGTTCTGCGCTAGTTCTGAACTAGAGCGATTTATTGCAGGGTCGCTTGAAATGTTGTAGACAATAGAACAATCACCTCCAGCCTTCACCATTGGCACAAGAAAGTTTCGCGCATGCGTGCGTTTACGCGCCTTGCAAATGCTTGTAAAAGTTCCAAAACGGTTTGGTTATGATTTATTTATAAGGTTTGCACTTTATTTTTTAATGGTTTGGAGTTTAGTAATGGGTAGAGACCGAGATGCATTCTGTTATTGAAAAATGTTCATTATTATAGTTTCTGTAGCGCTGACGAAATAATAAAAGCAGTACTTAAATACCTTCTGTTTTTTAACTACTAATATGCAACATTTGAATGTGTTTATTAATGTCTAAATTTGGTTGAAAATTTAGCAACATTTAAAACATGCATAACTTATATTTTTAGTTTCAAGTTTTCTTCTTTTGTTTTGTATAAAAATATAAATTTTTATTGTATTTAATGTATAGCATAATTTCATATTGTTAGTGCATATATGCATGCATGTAAATATGTACACACATATCAATGCATATGCATGCTTACTTACATACAATTAAATTTAGTAAACCACCCAAATGACAGCGCATTTCTTTCAAGTTTTATTTTGTATTTAATACTTTTTTATAATGTCGAAATTTGGGTTTCCATTTATATTCATAGAATTTGGCTAGACGTTTTTATACTTTGTTATTATTTAAGTTTTGTTTTTATTATAAATTTTGTAGCCTGTTAATTTTTAATTTGGTTTCATTGTTATACATATTTATTCTAATTTTTTTTTCCAACTTTTTTTTTAATATCATAAATAAAGAGAAAAAATACCCCTTGATCTGTAAATGTGAATATAAAAAACAGAAATCAACGAAGGGATAAATAAAAGTAATTTTTTAACTTAAAATTTTGTTTAAACATTTTCAAAAATATCCCATTAAAACAATTTCAAGTTTTCTCACATCCCTAAGCTGTAAAAAAATCAAATGGATTCAACACTGTGGCAAAAACTCATTTTTCAAGGCAAGGATCAGCTGTAAAAATGATCGAAATTTCTAGAAAGCGTGGAAACCCAACTTACCTTACGCTAGAAAATCGCATTAATTTTTAATAATTTTATTTTCTGGCGGTGCTAGGCAATTTCCTCTATATGTATAAAAGTAATTGTCGAGCATATTTTATATGAGAGAAAATGCTCAACACCGTCAGCCAAAAAAAAAAATTTAATCAACGCGAATTTCTTGCGTTTTACATTTTAACATACTAAAATTTAATGGACTATTTATAAAACTGCGTACCTAAAATTTTTCCAAAAATGCTTAATAAAAAGTTTAACATTTTTGGGTCCAATTGTTAAAGTTTGTTGAATTTTTCTAATTTTTGTACGAAGTTCGACGAGTGGATTTATGTGGTGCTGGTTATGTAATATGCCACACTTTTATAAAAAAAAGTTATAAACAATAAATATACCAAAGAGAAGTAACCAAAACTGGTGAAAAACTCACTCAACTTTAATAAAGTGTGAACCTTCATACAGAGATAAAACAGAATACTGTGATAGGCCCTTCCAATAACTTGTTCACTATATCCAGAAAAGACCGTAATTCTATTCTATTTCTCTACTATCCTCATGCATTATACTTTACTTTGAGATTTTTAAAACACTGCCACAAGACTTCGGGTGTGCCATGGACAATAACAGGAGCCTTTTTGTAGTATCCATGGCAATCCCACTTGCATTACAATTTTTGAAAAGCAAATGAGAAGTATATTACATTATGTATTTTGTATTATATTATATTTTATTTTGTTATATTATAATATTATATTTTATTTTATTATATATATTCTCATATTAGATTATGGTCGCTTTATTAGTCTGAGTTAGAAATAAAAATGCGACTGTCAATTGAGAGTTTACTTAACGCCTACTAGCCAATGATCATAACTCTAAATTATTATTTATTGGTTTATAGATATTATATTGTATAATATACGTATATTTAACTCGTATCTAATAGAGGTTTTAGCGCATATCTGCTAATTCATTAATGGGACAGAGACTACTAATACAAACATTTTTTTTTTTTTTTTTAATTTTTACGTTTCATATAAAATATTTGTGTGATGAAATAAATACCTTGTATTCGAATAAAAAGCATCAGCCGGATTCTTGTTTTCTTACGAATCGAAGATTTCAAATTTTTAGTATAGAAAAGAAATGCTGAATTTTCCCAAGGCATTAAATGACAAAATTTTTATTGAAAATGTTGGGCATTAATAAATTCCTCTGCCATTGCGTTCATAAAAATAGTCATTGTGTGTGTGTTTCGATGTGGCATTTTTTAAATGGAATACATTTTTTATCATTATAATGCCTTGTGGGAATTCGGCATAATAGGGAAATTTCAAATTTTCGACTTGTACGAAAACAAAAAATCGACCCAATATTTTTTACCTCTTAAAAAGTCAATGAAATAACTACAAAAATATGACACTAACGACCCTCTTATGAATACCTACATAAATTTTGTTCTGTAGTTTCTTCCTTTCTAGCCTGATTTTTTTACTTTTTTTTAATTATTTGTATACTAATGGTTCTGCAGTTGCAAGCGAACATCGCTCAGTTATAGAATATTTGTGTGTAAGTATGTGTGCTTAATATATGCTTACACACGATTGGTTTTTTCATAGCTTCCTTTTTACTAAGAAATTATAACAAACTATTAATAAAAAAAATTGAAATAACTTTTTGAGTTTATGGTGTTTATTTTATTTCCAAAACATATGTATTTTTATTGATAAATTATTTCATATATTTTTTTTTAAATTAATACATTACATTGTAATCCACTTTGTGTGTGTGCTGTGTTTCGTTTTTGTTTCTTTAGTAACTGACTTATGCTTACACGTCACACAAACATATGTATGTTTTTATGTTCTTAGTAAAGCAACTACTTATATTTTTAGTTTTAGCTTAAAACTACGCAATACATTTTTTAACAGAATTTTCTCCTTTCGTTTAGAAATATTTTTATTTGATATGCATTTAATATATATTATAATTTATATTCGTTATAATTAGCTAATTTAATAATTATTCAGTATTTTGTAAGTTCAACTATACGAATGCTACAGGTCAACGTCAAGTGTGCTTGTTTACATACATACATATAAGTATATATGTATGTAGAATGTAGCCACACAATACAACGTTAACTTCTATATATATTTTAAATGTAGGAGAATGCATGTGTTTATGTAGTATGCATGCTTGTTTGGTATTTTAATATTCAATGGGGCATTTTTCTCAGTGCTAATTAAATAAGCCAAATATCCAGGGTTTACTTACGAGACTAGCTATGCTTGTACATATGTACATACATAAATCTATGTAGTTTGATGCGCATGCATGAATGTTGTGTTGTGTGCGGGTGTGCGTGAATTGTGTGTTTTGTTTTGCGCTTATTCATGTGTTCAGATACAGATATACCGTTATTGTTGCAATACGTCAGTGGCATTGTAAGCGCCGCATTTTTATTGCACTATTTTCATTATAATTTCTATTTTAATTTCTTACAATTATTTCTTACTTAAAAATGTAAAGTTTTTAGCTTAGATTTTGTTTATAGTTTTTGTTTCGGTATTAATAGTTTTTCTAAGAGCCAATTTTATAAAGTTGTTGAGTACAAATTCATAGTACTAATATCATTTTTGGTTTAATCATAGCAATAATAATATTCGTAATAATAATATATTGATATGTTTTGCGTTATATAACTTCTTTACTTTTAAATAAATATATATTTATATATATATATATATATATATGTATATGTATGTATAAGTATTTGTCTCACTTTTTCTTTTTTTCTTTTTTCTTGTTTCTTTTATTTATTTTTTTTGTTTTGGTTGCTTACGCTGCTATATAAAAAGTTTTTGCTTAGCAATTCATTTCTCTATTTTCGTTTAATGCATAAATTTTTATAGATGTGTGTATGTATAATTTTTACCACATCAACTTATGTATGTTTTTGTTTTTTGGTTTTGTTTTGGTCTTCTTAAAAGTAATTTTTATTTTCAATTTACATAATTTCTTTTACAATTATCCACTTACACACATACAAATATGTAACTACATGTGCTCACATATAAATACATACATATTTACCATTTCGTTTTTGTTTCTTTTATTACTTATTGAGTATGTATGTCTGTATGCACGAGTATGTGTGTGTGTGTGCAACTATTATTGTTTGTGCTACAAATTTGCAACATGCTTCTAATACAATTATCATATTCACGCTATTAAAATCCAATTAATTTGTCAGCCATAAGAATAGGTTACTAATTTTTATTACATTTTTTTATTTTTTTTTTAGGTTATACAGCACAGCTGGAGGAAAAGCTATATGGCATAAAGGCTAATGACTCATTTGCGCACAAGTACTATATATAGTTTATGGAGAAATATATGTGAAAGAAATCGTAAAGTGGTTGGTCTGAAGCCTAACGCAAATGCATATGCAAAAAATAACAAATAAGATTTCTTCCTGTCGTTCACTTTAAAGCGCAAATTTTATTCTGGAATCGTAAAAACTATAGTAGATATGTTATTAGTTGGCTTTTTGTGCAAACAAAGTCAACCCTCTTGTCGCAGTAGAGTAAGGATGCGAGGCAAACGAAAGACTCAAGACACGAACGGGTTTCGCGCTTGAAATTTTTACTCAAACAATTCATCGCATTTCGCGTACATTGCGAACGCTTTCCATTTTATTTAACTGAAATTTAATGCTAAAGTCAGTTCAAAATTTTTCTTTTTTACTTTATTAAATGGCCCCTACCTACCGAGGCTCTGGGGTACCAAATTTTTCAAAACTTTCTTGGCAAATTTCAAATTTTAAGTTTAATCTCATTTGTATTTTTTTTTTTATTTGTTATTTCGGTATAAAATCGTTAATGTTTTGGAAATATTCGTTACTTATTTCGTCGTCGCTAAAAATGTTACGTTTTCTTCGCTTTTAAAATTTGGTTGATTGTAAAAAACTGTGGTTCTGGATATCCAATTTAAGTCAAAGTTTTTTAACTGTTTCAAAAATTTCATTGCCTTTCCTTTGAGCTTACCAAATTAGTTTATTAATTTGGTTTGGGTTGTCAAGCTAAGGTCATCAAGGTGCTCTGCAGCTTTGTGGCAAGAGCACGCGTAAAATGCTTAAAGTGTATGTGTGTGGGAGTGTAAGTGACTACTTTTGTTGTACGGGTTGAGCACACTGAACATTATAATATGCAAACTAAGTTATATGATAAATATGTCCACATACATAGACAAAAAAAAGCAATTTAAATATAACACGAATTTGGTAAAAGTAAATGAAAAAATTGTGGAATTTTTTTCCAACCCAAGCTGCTCAATATACGTTAATAATATAATATTTTTGCTTAATACTTGCCCTAAAAAAAATCAAGTTTTGCCGCAACGACAAAAAAAAAATTAAAAATATAGAAAAATGTATAACATCAAATCAGTTTCATAGATAGTGTTTTGTGTCAGCCCTATACACAAATTAAAAAAAAAAAATAGAAATAAAAAGTTCTGGATCTACTTGGCATCTACTTACAAACATATTTCTTAATATGCGCCTTTATTTTTCATATTTTCGTCCTTCCTTAATTCTTCGCCTACCCTTTCATTAACTACATTTCACTACGCTAGTTAAATGTTTTTTTTTTTTTTGTATGTAAGCATTCGTGAGTGTGTGTGTTATTTTTATTAGTAATAATTATCTTATTTCTTTTTTTATTAATATCCATCATTTTAATGTGTGTTTTCTGGAATGTTTGAATACATTGGCTGCATGAAGCTTTTTGTGCGCTCCTAAATCAATTTTATGTTTTAGAAAAATATATTCAGCGACGGAATGCCCAAAACAATTGATAACGTCAGCATTATTGTAACGATACCACTTTGTTGTAGCGCTAGATCTTGTTGTTGTGCACTATGTAGTGTGGAAGCTGAGGATGCTTTGACTTCACATTGCGCTGCAAAAGAAAAGAAAGGCGCACTCATTAGTTTACATAAAATTTTTCTGCGGTGAAATTGTGGGGAACGCGTACACACATGCATATGTGCATGTATAGTTCAATGAATATGATATGGCATATGAAATAGCATTAAACTAAATATAAAAATGTCTTTAATAGAAATTGTTGGCCATCTGAAAAACCTATAACGAAATCAGCTGAAGTGCTTCAACATATTTTCGCTGTAATAATATTTCTAGTTACAAGTTGACACAATGATATTTGCGATTTTTGTTATAACTCGAGAAAATCTTTTGAAAATAATTTTAATATGGACTTTACGAAATGTCATAACAAACACGAACTAAGTAACTATCAAAGTCCTGTTTTCTACCATACAAAAATGGAAAACTATTAAAACAAAAACTTCTAATCTCATACTAGCAGAATATCTGACGTGGCGTCGTTTGGCTTAAATATATGAAATTTAGGCAAAGAACATTTAAATGGACCACATGTTTCTCTATACATTTCGCTTAATCTTGGAGTACTACATGACCCTTGGGGATTACATCTTTGTATTTTTTTTACCTTCCTCGGGAAAGGGTTAAAGTATACCATCAAATTCTTTTCATCAATGCATCGTTTTAGAATAAAAATATAAAAAAATCGGTTCAGTATTTGTTGAGCTTAGTTTTGACAAATATTCTCCCTATAATCAATTTTATATATAACTAGAAAATACCCAGCGTGATCAATTTAATAGAATAACATTTTTCTTAGAGGTGGCAACGCCCCTTAAAAATATTTTCGGCAGTAAGCTTTCCTAAACCTCTTCAGTTTGATATCCATGTCAATTTACTTAAACTGCAATTTTCAAACAGGTGGCAACTTTAAATATTTTCTTTCCATATTTTTAGTTAGAACTCTTACAATATATCGGTGAAAACTGCATTAAACTCCATGCATTAGTTTTCGGGTGATGCGCGTACAAACATTTTTGATTTGGCTTTAATTTATTTTATTATATGTAAATATTTTTAATTTTTATTATGAATTTATGTATATTCAGTCAGTTCAGTCATATTTTTAAGAAAACCATGACGTTTTGACGATTTTCTTTATTTGAATTTAAAATACAAATTTTTGGTTAAATAAAAAAATTATTAATTTATTTTCTGAACAAGATTTTTATAGAAATGTGAATAATTGAATACCCTTCCCATGGTATTTTTTTATCAACCCACTTACATCAAAAAAGTATGAAGAGGTTATATTTAAAAAAAAAAAACAATACGCAAGTAAGTTGCGATCAGATTTTTGTTAAATTTTTGGCACGGCTTTTCCTACAGAGAGCCGACTACTTGTAAAGAAATGAGGTTGTTCACACTTGCCTGGTTATTAGGTTATCATGTTAAAAATTATTTTTGTTTAGTGTATTTTATTTTGTTGTAAACTGAATAAAAAATATAACCACATAGCCTGATAAACAGGCAAGCGTGAACAAACTCAATGTTTTTCAGCAATCGTGGAACGAAATACTACAACATCTTTTAATTCTGCCAAATGAAAATTGATATGGATCTAAGGCGTTGAGTTATTAAGGTTTTAAAAGCAGTAGTCACTCTCGTCATCTGACTACTTGTTTTCTACTAGAGCGAATATTTGAACGCAAGAAACGAAGCCTAATTAAATATGTTTTTAAAACAATAAAATTTGCATTTTAGTATTATTTCAGGACCAAGAACTCTGTGCATATGTATATGGTCCTTTCTATATTAATGGAGATATGTATTAAAAAAAATTAAATATCAAATTAAACAATCAAAATATCAAATTAAAGGTAATAAAATATGACATGTTTCACTTACAATTAATTTTTCATTAAAGTTACAAGTTTTATAAGTACTTACAAAGATTTAAAAGGAAATGTTTTTTCCAAAATGAGAAAATTTTTAATCTATACATGATGCAAAACATATATGGTGTGACGTTCATTATGGGGTTTGTTTAAAAGTTTAGATGATTCCAAGTCGCATAAAGCTATTCGTCGATATTTTTGCAAAACCGCCCATCAAAAAAACATCAACGTACTGCTTCTCACAAAGTATGTTTCCACTATTATTTTATTTATTCTTTAACAAATAAAAATAATAAATAATAAACCATTATGTAGTTTCTTGTGTACCGTTATTTTGTACATAACCCAACACCCACCCATGACGCACCTCCAAATAAAAGTCAAAAAATATAATATAATAATATAATAAAAGTGCAAAAATATAGGAATCCCTTTAATTTTTTCATGATCCCATGATCGGAACTAAACCAGATTAGTACATCACCGGTCTTAATCATAGAAAATGGTTCGCGTGGTCTAAAGTTATGTGGTAACATACCATACAAAAGGTGTGATCAAAACTAAATATCGTTCCCGTAGGTTTTTTCCCCAAAATCAATTCCACAATAAAGATAGTGTCGAGAACGCTTTCAACGGGAATGATATAAGAACAAAACCCAGACCGAACAAAATGCGAACAATACTTTCCGTAACACTTCTAAGAGAACAAAATGGGAAAAAAGTGTCAAGGAACTTTTCTTGCACAGAAAATGAAAAATTGTTCAATAGATATACGATCTGAAACAATTTTTCATGCCAACCGAAAACGCCTCTTGCATCCTTAACTTTAAGTCCTCGGTACTTTTCTTCTCGTTTTGTTATCTAGCAGAACTAGGGTTGTAAATGACAATGAGACTATCGATGTTTAAAGAATCGATGTTTCTAAAATTTACATCGATGGTAGTTCGATATATCGAAATAAAACATCGATGTTTTTACTGATGTTTTTAAGAAAGCTTGCTCATTTTTTAAGTATTACAAACAATTTTAAATCGGATTTATATAATTTTTGTTAAAGAATGAACTAAACTTTTATAAAAAAAAAAGTAACAAACATTAAGCACGAAAAAAATTTTTGTTAAAACTTGTCAATTAGGGGATTTCCTTAATATCGTAAAGTCTTAAGCTGTGTAAAACTTCTAAGTTTACGAGGCTGTTACGGGAACGCCACCCTTTTGGAAATGTGTAAATAGGTGCGTAAAGTGACTGTTTGACAGGTTGAAAAGGGTTTTTTGAATACATTTTTGTTTCGTAGTATTTTTCATAACAGCCCGTCAGCTCGAATGAAAGCTAAAATATAATTAAAATGCGAGAATTATGCGAGAAAACCCATGTTAATACAATTAGTGGATACAATTTATTAATTTTATTCCCCTACTATTTTTTCATTTGTTTTCAGTATTTTATCATATATTTTAGTATAAAATCGTCGGCCCCTCGGCATCACTGAAGTTTACGAGGTCGTTTGCGCATCAAATTTGCCTCGCAATTGCACGAGGGGCTTTTAAATAGAGCTCCATACAAATTTTGACAGTTTTTTTACGAGCCTCGGAAATTCACGAGCTTTTCGAAGTTGACGAGGCTTTTACGAGTTTAAGGAAAGCCCCCAATATGTAGTGGTTTTATATTTTGGAACGAGGTGGAATTTTAGTTCAGCGCTGCATACGAGTTTCAATAGTTTTAAGGCATTTAAACTATTTCTTTATTATATATATATGCTCATTTATTAATTGGAATTTACGAATTTATTAAAGGAAATTACCTGTGCATGATTGTATGAAAGTACTTATTTATAAAACGCTCGATCAAAATTTTACAGCGCACACAAAATGAAGTGGTGGAAAATTAGTTTCTATCAAAAAATGTTGCCTTTTGATTCCATCTTTCTTTTTTCGTATTCAGTTCTAAAACAAAGACAAAGGGTGAGAAAATTATGTGCTCGTTTCTTGAAATGCCACACTCTTATCAGGCAAAAAAGGCACATTCTCTTTGAAGATTTGTTAGGGGTGGTAGTTGCCCTTAAAATCAGATGGTTGCTTAAAACGACAATATTATGAATTGCGTGAGCAGACACGGACAATAAGGCAAACGGGGTTGAGAGTAAGTTCTAACACACTTTACACCGGGGAAGGGCAACATTTTTTGGAAGAAACGAAATCACCATAAGAGTCCCCTTTTTACATTTTTCGGTGACACCTACATCCGGCAATAGACTTTTTTAAATGGTTCTACTAGAATAATCGAAATACTTCTTTAACAAAAGTTTCGTGATTTTTGGCGAGCTTTGATTCACTGATATTAGGGTGGTAGGTTAGAGTAATAAGAACTGAGATTCAGTGTGTAAGTACTAAATCGAGGTATTTAAGGTCAATGAATTTTGGAACAAAAAAATGTTCTCGAGACATAAACATCGAAATATATCATATGTGATTTTAAATTATAATAGGCTTTTCCGATCTTGTATCCTTTAGTGCAAAGTTATTCCACTATTATAGCCCGACATTTCTCTAAACTCATAAGCATCCTCAGGGGCTGGTTGTTTTTTTTACAAATATCTACTTTAACATATTTAATAGTTAATACTTCTGTTTAGATACCTTAAATGTTGTCGGTGCGATGATTTGATGTGGTTGCAGCAAATTATAGTACTTATACTACATACATATTCACATTGGAGATGTCTCATTTAGTTGCGATGAACCGGGTAGACCGGCGCCGGCCGCGGCCTAAAGCCAAGATTTTTATACCGGAGTGCACTTGTGCACAAGCCGTGACTATCTGTCGTGTTGAGATATCTTAACGAAACATGGTATATGTACTTCTGTTGAGCGTAAGACGGATGGTATTGAAAATTGGCAAAATCGGACTAGAACCACGCCATATAACGGTAGTTGGCGGAAATACGAAAACTGCGATATTTTAAGTAACCAACGAAGCTTATTCACTCAAAATTGACATTTATAATGGCCTTTTGGCGGGAAAATAAGAATATTACACTTTTTTTTTTTAATGGGCGTAGCCACGCCTACTTATGATTACATGTGTATGTCTCGGTACCCGCTTCACCAATTTCTTCCACACTTGGCACAGTTGTTGGTATTGCTAAAACGTACCAAAC